TTCCCCATCCCCCCAATTACCCAATAAAAAAATCTTTAAAAAAAAAAAAAGAATATATTAGAGGGATTCAACAGTAGATTAGATGAAGCAGAGGATCAAATCAGCAATCTGGAAAAAAAATTAGCAGAACACACAATTAGAACAGCAATAATAATAATAATAATAATAATAATAATAATAATAAATAATTAAATAAGTAATAAATAAATTAATAATAATAATAATGCAAAAAAAATGAGGATAGCTTAGGGGTCCTCTGGGACAACATCAAGCATACCAACATTTGCATCAGGGGAGACCAGAAAAAGAAGTGCGAGAGCAAGAGATTGAAAACCTATTTGAAGAAGCAATGATGAAAAACTTCCCTAATCAGGCAAAGAAAATGGACATACAAGACCAGGAAGCACTGAGTTTCATACAACATGAACCCAATGAGGATCACACCAAGACACATCATAATTAAAATGCTAAAGATTAAAGACAAAAAGAGAATCTTTTTTTTTTTAAGATTTTATTGGGGAATTGGGGGAGGGGAAGTTTTGGGGAATTGGGGGAAGGGAACAGTGCTGGAGAACTGGGGAAGAGCTAAGTTGTTGTCCTTCAATCTTAGTTGTGGAGGGTGCAGCAAGCTCAGCTCCAAGTCCAGTCGAGCCGCTCAGCTCAAGCGCTGTGTTCAATTAGTTGCGGGTGGGTGTAGCCACCATCCTATGAGGGAGTCAAACAGCTTCATTGTTAAGAGCACACGCTCTGTCCACTGAGCCATCAGGGCAGCAGCTCAGCTCAAAGTGCCAAGGTCAGTCGTTAGTTGCGGGAGGATGAAGCCCACCATCTCGAACAGGCAACCTTGTTGTTAGGAGCACTGCTCTCACCACCTGAGCCATCCTGCCACCTGTTGGCAGCCCAACAGCAGCTCAGCTCAGGTGCAGCTTATTGGCTCATGTAGGAATCGAACCGGCAACCCTGTTGCTCAGAGCTTGCACTCTTGAGCAAGCTCTTAACCAACTGAGCCACTCAGCAGGCCCCAAAGAGAGAATCTTAAAAGCAGCGGATCTGAACCAGGGCGCTCTGGCGTCCCAAGCCAGCTCTTAACCAACGCGCCACTTGGCCGGCCCCCCAGGAAACTTTTCAAAATGTTGACTTCTGGACCCTTTCCCAGAGATTGGTTTTTATTAGTGAGAATGACCTGGGCACTTTTAACCCCCACCCCACGTGCTTTTAATATGCAGCAAGATTTGAAAATCATAAATACATTACTAGTATGTGACTATCAATTTGGCAATATATATTAAATTTAAAATTGTGTAAAGCTTTGACATCAATTCTTCACAGTTTTTTATTGTACAGGAATACTTATGTAATTTTGCGAAAATATCAGAAAAGTATTGTCCACTACAGTACTCTTTGTAACAGCTGAATGTGAGAAACAACTAAAACATCCATCCATAGGCAGAGAGTTTAAACACGATATGGTGTATTTACACTCTACAGTGTTCTACAACTTGCCTGGCAGATTAATGCCTATCTGTTGTTTCCTACACACTGTCCTTCCTCATGGTTAAGAGCCCAACAGTCTTCACACCCTGGGAGCAATGCCCTCTCTCTGCCTTTCCAGGAACTTAGTGGGCACTAATTTGGGATTTTCACGAAGAAAGAGAATCCCTGAGAGCCCAGGGGATACATGTGCCCCACAGGCCCGGGCACCAGGGTGAGCTGTGGGACACACTCCCTAGCAAGACAGTGGAGAGAGGTGCTCTTGGGCCAGAGGGAATCCAGAGGTCAGGCATTTAGGAAGCTGACTGAGGTCGTGGCACAAATGAGCAGGAAACCTCTGAGCAGCCCCCACTCCAAGGGCAGAAACAGGAAGCACTTACCTGGACTAAAGGCCAGTGGCTGGCAGGTGATAGGTGCCCTCCCTGAGGCAGGGTCACAAGTGCTAGATTACATCACAAAGTGTGACCTACCTGCAGGGGCATTGACTCAGAAGCTGAAGAGAGACCAGAGATCAGGAGCAAGGAGGTCCTGGAGAAAGGCATAGGTGCAAACTGAGAGTGACAGAGACTCAGGAGAACCACAGGCTGGCATCTGGGTGGTCCAACCCCACAAGGAGGAAGGAGCAGTTGGAAGTGGAGCAGGTTGAAAATTCCACCGAGAGCTGGAGTCAGGGACCCTCAAAGCAGCAACACTTTCATAATCACATCTTACAGGCCTGAGACACAGAAGCAGGAGTGGGTGGTGAGGTGCATAGGGTAGGTGTTGGCACATCTGGGCTAAGTACTCTCCCTGGAACCTCAGACCACACTCAGGATAAGGAGAGCAGATGGCTGGGAGCAGAGACTCTTAATGGCTTCTTGTGGGTGGGTTTCCTTGGAAGATAGAAATAACCCTATAGGTGATCCTAATGGCTCAGTCTTGGATGCTGCTGTGGTAAGACCCTTTGAATCTATAGCAGCAGCAGCAGCAGCAACAGCAGCAGCTATTCCACCTCATCTGAAGCTCCAGAGGACAAAGACTCACCTGTGCCCCTGGACAGGTGGACCATGACCAGACTCCAGGGGTCCTGCCTGCTCCTGCTTGCCCTTCTGGTAGCTCTGCTGGCCAGCACAGATCCAGACAAAAATAAGGTCAAGGTGTTAAGGGAATTAAAAGTCATTGATGCCTCAGATGCCAACATGAAGCAGTGTCTGTGGTTTGCCATGCAAGAGTACAACAAAGAAAGTGAGGATAACTACATCTTCCGAGTGGTCAAGGTAATACAAGTCCAGCTGCAGGTAAAGATGTTCTCTGTCAATATGCATATCTGCATATGGTGGTAGAGACTGAAGCCAGTCTGAAAGAGTGGGCATATGAGAAAAACACTTATATACAAAAATCCTAAATATGTGTTTGCTCAGGCACATATACACTTGCACGTTGTTATAACAGAAGTGCACTTTCTATATATGCTTGGACTGCCATTCTTAGTTCTTTTTATATATTAACTCATTTAAACCCAAAACTGAAAATCAAATGTTCATGGTTTGTATTTGCTAAGGTTATTTGGAGACAAATGGAGTACCATGAATAGTTTGCAATAATGCTGCCACAGGCAACATTTCAATCTAGCCACATAACATGGAATGTAAGGTTGAAAAGAGACACATGGAATATATAGGCTAATAAAGTACCTCCTCCTATATTCTTTAATACTTTTAATCCAAAATTTATTTAGTAGAAGTGGAGATATTCTTATTTTCTGTTCATAGAAATGTACCCCTTCTCAATGGACTGCGAGTTGCCCAACACTAGGAAGCATTGTTGACTTGGATTCTAGTGTGGGTGATGCTCCCTAGAGTTTGCATCCTATGGCCCTGGCTGCCATGTTTGAGAACACGTGTTGGCTCTCAGTGTTGGAATTCAGCCTCTGTCTTTGGTTGGTGGTGTCGCTTATATTTGCACTATGAAACTTGCATGAATAAGTTGTAAAGAGACCTAACAGATAGTTCAGTTGGCAGAGTTTATTTCAGTTTTTACACTCTCCAAGTTGCCTCTGTTAGCAGGAGCTGGGCCACTTTACATGTTGGCACTTATGGCCCCATCTCTTTGGAAACACATGAGCCATGAGCACCATATTTGCAGTACATTAAAATGATGGTGCAGCATGCTTTGTCAACTGGGCACACATTACAATCCACCCGGAGGCAACTCCCTCAGGCTTTTAAAATAAGAGAGTAGATCTTGGATCTTGTAACTTCCCTAGCTCTTTCATAGTTTTCTTCTTTTTGTACCCAAGTAGCATACACATTCAGCAAGTTTCTCCCAAGCCACTTTTATGCTAGCTGCTGTAGATGAGACAGTGAGTTAGACAGAAATGACCATAGCCCTTAGGGAGCTAGCAATCCAGTTAGAAAGAAAAAATGATAAACCAGGAATGAGAGTTGTAATATTTGTTCTGGTGGCGTGATGGAACAGGGATCTGGGTGTCAGGGAAAGGCTTCTTCAGACAGCGTTTCTCACCTGAGGAGCTTGTAAATGTTCTACTGAACCCTCATCAATTAAATGAGGATCTCTGGGTGGTATCTGGATGTCACTAGGTGTAAAAACTCTCGAGGTGATCCCCACATACACACAAGGCTGAGAACAACTTCTCTACGGAGTGTTGTTGAAGATGCTGCCTCAGGGCAGACTATGAGTGAAACAGCTGAAGGAGGCAGGTGGGAAGTGTTTCAGCTTGTGTCTCCCAGAAGCAGACCCTAGAGCTAGAATTCAGGTGTAATTATTTGGGAGGCCATCCCAGGAAAAACCAGGAGGCCAGAGGGGCAGTGAGAGGGATTAGAGTGCTAGGTGAATTACTGAGCAGGTGACCACCTGGGGTAGCTGGGCTCAGTCGCCCTGGGGCCTCAGGGAGAGTGTGCAGAGCCCATGTTGGAGTTGAGCCACCCTGTAGGTGAGTGGCTGGGTTGCTTATCCACCAACTTCAATCCAACATTGTCCAAGAGCTACTCTGGGAGTCCTCAGCTCCTGTGGGTGGAGGAATCCTCCAGCAGGGAGCCCCCAGGAAGTGGCAGTGTGTTTAGGAGCAGTATGGGGCATGGGGCACCTCTCACAGCATCTGCTACAGGAGGGGATCAGGGAGGATGAAAGGTGCATGGGGATGGGGAACAGCAGTTAGGCCTAGCAGGGAAGGAGGGGGGCCCATTTGGCAACTCAGGAGCCAGTGTGACTGGACAGAGAGGTGGATGGAGACCACCTTGCCTGGCCTTTTACTCTATCTCAGAAGCACTGGAAATCCAAAAAAAAAACAACCATGAAGTCAGGGCGTTCTCAAGATCCATGTGATCAGATTTAGGTTTTAAAACTTCATTCTGTTTAATTTCTTTTTAGAAAGAGGTTGTGCCGATTCAATCAAGGTGTCCATGTAACCGAGCGACCCCCAGATTTTCCACACTTCAGGTTCACATTTCCCTGGAATCAGCACATAGAAATCCTCTGCCTTCCTCTGGCTGGATGAGCAGAGAGGGCAAAAACGAGAGAGGAGTGAGCATGGTGGTCAGGGATGTGAGTTCTCATTCCAGGACAACTTACTTGAGTCGTTGGTTAGCTGATTGCTAGATAGATAGTTACTTAGTTCCTCTGTGCTTCAGTTTCTTTTCCTGAAAAAAAATGGGGGTGAAACCCTTACCCCAGAGGTTTAGTGTGTGGGTTAACTGAGTTAATTGTGTACAAACCCCTGAGAATAATGCATGACACAGAGAGAGCACTGGTGAGGGTCAGTAAGTATTACGACTAACATGAAATCTTGCTGGTGATCAGGTTCATCTCCATGGTATTTTTTTTCTAATTTATTTTCTAATTGCAGTTGACATACAATATTATATTAGCTTAAGGTACACAACATAGTGATTAGACATTTATATAACTTATAAGGTGATGACTCCGATAAATCTAGTACCCATCTGACACCATACATAGTTGTTACAATATTATTGATTATATTCCTTCTGTTATACCCTACATCCCCATGATTTACTCCACTCAGCACAATATCCTCTAGGTCTATCCATGGTATCAGTCCATGGTATTTTCGAGGTTCTCTGAATAGAAACTTAACACCCAAACCCAAAAAACAGCTCTATTGATCACTTCTTAATGTCATCTAACCAGCTTATCCCCCATAACAAGCCCTAATCTCCCTTGTTAATTCTTTTGAACACAGCCAAAATGTAACACAAATTTATGAAAGGCTTGGAGATGGCAATGAGAAATGGTAATAGTAAAAGGGGAGTCCAGGGGAAGCTGTAACCAAGTTGCAGACATCCATTTCGTCACCTGCTGTGATCTTTTAAAACCAGATGAAAGCAGGTTTAACTGGACACCATGAGTAGCCTTCACTGTGTTCAGTCATTAATGAATTCAGTAAATGCTGATGCCTTGCTACAAACCTATTGCTGCTCTCCTTACTAAATACTCAACAGAGAAAAGAAAGAAACTCCCTTGGCAGGGCGCCATAGGGACTGCTTGCTGAGGTGGTTGGAGGGGCCTTGGGTGGGGAATCTGAGGGGTGTGTGTATCAGGGAGAGGAATCAGGGAGGGGGTCCAAAGTGGTGAAGGTGCCTGTTCTGTCTGGCCCACATGAACCTGTAACATTTGGGGTCCAGTGGAGCTGATGGTTCTGGTTTTCTCTCCCAGCAATTCACTGAGCATGTAGCATGCCCTGGACTTTGGGACAGAAAATGAAATTAGAAGTCCTTGCCTTCCAGGAGTCCCCACACTAGAAAGGAGCCTTTTTCCTGAGTATCCAGCTCCAGGTAGGAGTTGTGTCAGAGTTGCAACTAATATCAGCATGCAAAGGAATCCAGGCAGTGGGCATCACAGGAGGGAGACTGTGTAAGAGATAGGAGACAGGATGAGAGTGAGAGAGAGGTTTTTTTTTTAATGTTTACTAAAACTTGTAAAAAGTTAAAAAAAAAGCACTTTTTGAATAAAATTGCACGGTTGCTAATTGACAGATCACAGACCATTTGGAATACTTTATTGATGTTGAAATTGCCCGCAGCAATTGCAGAAAGCTTTCAAACAATAATGAAAACTGTGTCATTCAGGAAAACTCCAAACTGGAAAAGGTAAGTAACAAACTAACTGTTTGTGATGGTCTTGGTTGCTCTGAGCCCCAGACAGAAGAACGTGGGGTACCCAGACTCTCTCTTTGAGGTCTGAATCACTCTCAGTATTTAGCCCCAGAAGTGGTCAACCCTGGAACTTTTAAAGCAGAGAGTGTAGGACAGCAGAATATGGTGGACCCCTGTGAGTCTTTCCTCACCCCCCATCCTAGGGACAGGGTGCTGTTCAGGTCACTCTCACTGCAAAGTCTTCATCAACTCTAGCCTCTTGGTGCAGAAAAACTTGCCAACACATATTTACTGAAAGTCTGCTCTCTTGGACCTGGATGAGCAACTCAGCTGTTGCTGGCCCCACAGGGGCTCATTCTTGTGAAGACACAAAAGGAAACTTGCTCATTCACTCATATACTCATTAAAGCTCACTTTGTACCAGGTGCTATTAGTGCTGGAGATTAACAATGATTAGGCCAGTGTCCTCATCCCAGGCTTACGGTTGATTCTTGCCAAGCTTAGCCATGGTTTTCATGAAGATCCAAAGACTCCCACCAAAGTGCTGACTAGGCCCAGGGTCCTTTGGCCTCAAGCCTGTATTTTTTACTTCAGAGGTGGGGAGAGCCCTAGATTCATCCAAGTGCTTAGTTTGAGATTTGTGAAGGCCCCAAGCTTTCTGCAGGCTTGCCTAAGAGACATGTCTTTGTTCCTTTCTTTACACCAGTTTTTCTTCACATGAGTGGGCATCCGAATCATCTGGAGGCCTTGATAAACCCAGATGGCTGTGTCCCAACTGCAGACTTTTTAATTTTTTATTCTTAACAAGTTCCCAGGTGATGCGGTTGCTTCTAGCCTTGGGATCGTACTGTGAGAATCACTGTTGCATGCAGCCATGGTATAGGAAATTGCAAGGGACCATTAACAAAGTGACCTCTCATGTCTGACTGAAACTGCCTCCATGTGCTCAAACTGAACGAGTCCGGCCATTTACAGTTATTAGTAGATACCCATCAGGACAAATATTTAAATAGTGAGCATGTCTTAATGCCATCTGAATTTTTATGTTAGTTTTGCTTATGTTTTACTGTTAGTAAAAGTATGATTGGTTTAAATTTATATTTTATACTGGGCTCATTGAGGTTAGAGGAAGATTGCTGCTTTTTACCTGTTTGTAGAAAATATTAAAGAATTAAGGAGAATTGTCCTCAAGGAGCTCATTTATAGTATCTAAGATTTCCATGGACTGTCTCAGTTTTAAGGTACATGTTTGTGAGCACACATTTATCAACACTAAAAGCTTTGTTTCTTTCTTTCCAAGTCTTTGGAACAACACTGAAGAGTAATAATGCTGAGCTGTTGTTCTTATTCCCACTTTAATGGAAATGTTTCCAGTATTTATATCCTAATATTTATTTGTATTAATTATTCTTTCAGCATCTATCAAGTATATTGAATACTTTTTCTTCTTTGACCCATTAGTGTAATAAACTAAAATAAAAGATTTCCTAGTATTGAGTACTTCTTACATGTCTAAAATCTGGTGCACTTGTCTCTTTTGTGTGTGGTTTTATAACTGTGTTTGATTGCTAGTTCTCATCCACATTGACTGATTGCAGGTTTTGAAAGTGGTGAGTGGTACATAGGTAAACAATGTATAAGCTTGTTTGGTGAATCTTCATCTTCATTACATTTTCGGGACAACTGCACATAGATACGACATGCAACTTTCCTTATTCCTTTGACCTGGACAGCTTTGCTGAGCCTGGTGTTGGTTGATGGGCATATCTGGCATTCTAACCTCTTTCATGGCAAACTTTTTACTGTCTCTGAGTGCCTGGGGGTTGCACTTCTTGAAGATCCTTCCATGGATGTGCTTGTGAATGTTGATGGTGTATTCTCAGTCACCACCTCGTTGATGGCAGAAGGACCCCTCCTTCGTGCCACCTTTCTTTGCAGCACTTGTTCTGTTGGCTCCAAGTTGTGATGGGTTGTATCTGTTAGAATGCAGTGGGATTCAATATGCCACTTCTTTATTTATGAATTTTGCATTTATACATATTAAGTACTCTCAAACGTCCCTAATCTTAAGAATCATTGAGCATGTGGTAAACACACACACACACACACACACACACACACACACACACACACACATTTCATGGCCTCATCCTAAACCTATTAAATAAGAATTTCCACGTACAGACACCCCACATAATTCATATTCCTGAGAAAGTCTGGGAAGCACTACATGAGGCCTCCAGCTGGCAGTAATTGTTTAATATACAACTGCTTTTATATTCTAGTATTTTTAAAGGATATTTGTTCTATTAATATTTGCTAGGACAAACATTTAAGCAGGGAGCATGTCTTAATGCCATTCTTAACAAGTTCCAGATGATACTGCTGCTACAGGTCTTGGGACCAGCAGTTTGGGTTGTAACTTGTTTATAAGATTTTTCTGGTCTGGTATACAGTAAGTCCCCGACTTACAAACATTCAAGTTGCAAACTTTCACAGATACGAACTGATACCGTGTTACAAACATTCGTAGATGCAAACAAATCGTGGAAGTAGCTCACGTGTCTGCCAGACATTGTCACAGTTGTGCTGCTGTGTCTTTACTGTACAGTGTGATAGTGTACAGTAGTACAGTGCTCAATCAGAGCCCAGGATGTCCAGAAGCAAGAGGAAAAGCAGTGGTGATGTGGAGGAGACTTCTAATAAGCATCAAAGGTGTATAAGACTCACTTTGTTGGACTTACCAATGAATCGGACTTACAAACGAATCAGACTTATGAACGAATCTGACTTACAAACATTCTCCCTGAAACAAACTCATTCATAAGTCAGGGACTTACTGTAGTAAGAATGGGGGCTTTTATCTTTTTCTGCGTTCTGGATCAGTTTAAAAACTAAGGTAGCTTTTAGTTCCCAAGGTTTGATGTAATTTGCCTATAAAGCCATCTTAATTTGGTATTTTTTGTGGGTTTGTGGGGGAAGGAGGCCTCCCTAGTCCTCCTCTGCATGTGTCTAATACTCAGCAGAGACCAAATTTCCTTCTGTCTGATTTCATTTGCCCCATAGTCCTGAAAGTACCTCCATGTTTCCAGTCAATTATTTAAAATGTCCTTTGCTGTTTTTCCAGAGCTTCCATCTATCTATCTATCTATCTATCTATCTATCTATCTATCTATCTATTGATCTATCATCTATCTATCATCTATCATCTATCTATCTATCATCATCATCTATCTACCTATATCTATCTATCCATCTCCACCCATTCATGCATCCCTTGACCATTTATTCATCCATCCACCTATTCATCCCTCTACCCATTGATTCATCTATCACACACACATTGAATATTTCATATTTGTAATTTCAATGGTATTTTGAAAGAGAAAAGGTTTTTTTAAATAAAAGATATTTTAAGCCCTAGAACCCTCTAAATTGCTCATATCCTGATTCATTTGTTATTAGCACAAAAGGTATTATTTAATTATAATATAACATAATTAGTTTATATTTGACATAGCATTGCTTTATTTACATTGTAGAAAATACTAAAGAGAATTAAAAATAAAGTGAAGATTATATCTGACTCTGATTCACTGTCTATCCATGGTTGGTATGGGAACAGAGACTCTTCCAGGGTCATCAGCAGTTGCTGATGGCTATAAAAGTTTGTGGCATCCAGCTAGCAGATTCCTGGGAGAATTTCTTGGTGGGTGATGACCATCTTCAAGCATATTCTTAAGCTCACACCTAGCAACAGGACAATTATTTTTCTTTTGGCACATTACTGATTTTTGTGGTGGTGATCTTTTTCAGAAAATAATATGCAGCTTTTTGGTTGGAGCGCTCCCCTGGAATGGTGATTTCACTGTGATGAAGAAGCAGTGTGCGGACACCTAGGAGGTTTGAGCATGCCTCCACTGTCTCTGCCTTTCTCTGTGAAAAGAGCTGTTACCAATATGCTTTCCGCCTGCATGCCTCTCTGCTTGCTGTTATGCTTTCTAGTTTCATATTAGGTGGTGATGAAAAGCAGGCATGTCCAACTCCTCCTTACTGGCCTGGAGGGGGCCCCTCGCTTCTGGCCAGTCTGACGGCGTACCATCAGAATTGTTTGTCACTGAGTACAAAGGATGGAATGAGATCTGATTCCTTTACCCACTGCAAGTCTGGTGAGGAATCACTTTTTGATTGGATAACAACCCTTTAGAGAAGTCTGATCCCAGTGGGTGCTAACTCAGTAGGTTTCTTCTGGAAGCCTCCTTTGGCCTGGG